TAGTACTCTCTCTCTCTCTCTCTAAACTACTCTCTCTCTCTACATACGTCTCTACTACTCAAAATTCCAACTCTCTCTAAAACTGCATCTCTCTCTCACATCATCGTCTCTCTCTTTCAAAACTTCATCTCTTGTAAACCTCAAACTCTATCTCTCTCTCTCACATCATCATCTCTCTCTCTTAAAACTCCATCTCTCTCTCTCTAATACTCCATCTATCTCTCACACATAAAAAGGTGTGCTCGTGTTCGAGCTCAAGCTAAACTCCTTGATTGGTAAACTCATCGAGAAGTGAAGAGAGAGAGAGAAAGAGTTTTAAAGAGAGAGATGGAGTTTGGATAGGGTGTCATTTTAGTGTTTATTTAGGTAAAAAATATATGGTCAAGGGGTCCAAGGAGCTGTAAGATAGAAAAGATGGAGGCTTTTTGTTTACAAGCAATATTTTCTATTCTTGGGTCTTATGAGATGTGAAAGTTAAAACTAAAAAATAAAGAGATATTTTCCTTTAAATATATTTAGGAAGTGTCTATAAATAGACTATTTATCTTTTGTAAATGAAAGTCATAATCATTCTCACTCATTAATAATCAAATTAGATAGTTTGGTGCGAGTCACGAAGTCCAAGAATTCTTTTTTTGAAGCTTTTGGCCATTTAATGAAATTCTTACAACGATCATTTCGAAATTTAAGGAACAAGAATTATTCTGACTTCTATATACAAAAGATAAAAGGTCTATTTGTAGACAATACCTTATATTTAAAACGATGTGGTTTTGTAGGGTCGTGGTTTTACGATATGAAAAACATGTGTGCGCTCCCAAAGATAAGACATATCTAACGACGTTTTCCACCCATCCGATTTGAATGAATGTTTAGAATGTTCATCCCTTTCGTTTTATATTTTTTCAATGTATCCAAATTTACTATTCCTCTTGAACAATTTTAAGATGCCTCTTGACATGGTTCCTGTTCATGAGAGATGAGTCAAAAGGAAAAAATGACACGGATTCTATGAGTCTTAATACTCGTATGTAGAAATGAGTATACTCTTAAAAATTAATTTTTGAGATGGATTTTGAACGTAGCATTTAAGGAATATTAATATCTAACATGGATATATAAAAAATAGATAAATTACTAAATTTTCAAAATAAAAAATAATAATTTTATTATACTATGGTTTTAACTTGTTTGGAGACCACTCATTTGCACCCATATGATGGATGTTTTTTTGCCTTGGGGATGCAAATATAGGAATGCAAATTAAGGGTATTGGTACTGCCAATGACCATAACTAAGCTCTTACAATTTACATCAAGGTGCGCTACAAGATTCCACACATCACATTTTCTTCTCCCACCCATTTCCTCCACAACTTATTTGCAAAACACCTCTTCGAGTTCCGACCCTTTAAGAACTTTCCATTTTCATCTGCCAAAAACTTCATAAATCTCTATAAAACCTTAATAACCAAACTACACTTTTGTAATATTAGTTAACCTTATCACATCTCTCCTTTATTACTGTCCAACAGACATTTGCGCTTCTCCTCACTTCTATAACGTTTTTTTCCTTTTAGGTTTGATGAACTATTTTTTAAAAAGAAAAATGTTTATATAAGGTTGACACGTTAAATTGTTGAATTAAGGTGTACCTCAAAACTCTATAAAGAAAAGTTATTTCTAATTGATCATCTCGACATCAAGATATATGGATATAGAAAAGAAAAAACAAAAAAAGATTTGGAGTCCCCAAAAATTATACATCTTGCAACACATAATCTGGAGATCTGCTTGATTTGAACTATTTTAAGAGTTTAAATTTTATAACTAGAGATGAAAATGGATTATGACACTATCCTAAAAATTTTGAAACCAAACCTGCGTCGTACGAAGAGGTGCATCTTACTTTGATTGTTTTAAGTTGCATCCTTATGCAAACCTCGCCCTTTTAAAAGTGGAAATGCATACTGTTGGCTTTGGTGATAGCCAAATTACTATATCCATATTTTCTTCTAAAGATTAAAGGTATTATGGTAAAAAGATAAAGGACTTTCCTGAGACGCAAGAAAGTCATATCTATATAAAAGAGTCCAAAAAAAACATAATACCCATCATTTTGAAGGTCATCCCTTTGGGGGTTATGGGAAGAGATATCCAAAATAGAGATAGGTCTCAAAGACAGAGAGACATGGCCTCCGATAGGAAGGCAGTACTACTATGGATTTTGGGTTGGTAAGGATTCCACTTTTAGACAGATAAAATCTATCGGTTGCTCTCGAAGTTATTTTTCTGGTAGTGGTATTGCGGTGGGAAAGATATTGATCAATGGTTATGCTTTATTGGGAGAGTGGGTTTAAAAGAAAAGATCGTTGAAAAGTTTTTACGAATATCTAGTGAGAGGTATATCTCTTGTAACCTAAAATTGAAATTTTCATAGTGATAGTGGATTTTCACTTGCCGTGGCAATAGATGTAGCCCTACGGAGTGAATTACATAAATTATGTATTGTGGTGGTGTGTTTTTTGTGTTTACTTTATTTATTGCACTTGATTTATAATTGTATTCATCTACTTTGTATTGAGCCAATCATGTACATGATCTTGGGTAGGATCCACGTATTTGGGATTCCGGGTTCCACAAGTAAGGGATTCCCGAGAACCCTACATATACAATGAGATCATTTATTTTTCAGACAAGGAGGTTCAACCATTTTTTACTATTAGACATGAAAGCGGGTAAGGGAGAATGTGTCATTTATTGGGCACAATGTCTTTTTGATATATTCCAATTTATCAAATTTCATATTCAATAGCTAAGTGAGAATGTGTCATTTATTGGGCACAATGTCTTTTTGATATATTTCAATTTATCAAATTTCATATCCAATAGTTAAAAATAACCGTGATGTCTTTATAACAAAAATAAATAGTATCGTAGTATATAACTCCTTTAAAAATTCCATTTTTCAATAAAATTACTTCTTAAAAATATATGTTATATTTCCTATTACTGTCCGTGCATTGCAGGAGCTGGCAGCTGGTGTTTGTTGATGTGTGACATTATTGAATAAGAAAATGCTACGAGACATACAACACTCAACTGATACAAAATTTTAAGAGAGCCCAACGATGCATGCCTAGGTGGAAAGTCACACATGGGGCGTGGGAAAACCTGACATAAAGTCATATGTTATACAGTAAACCCTCATCAGCCTACCCTCTAACTCTACTTTCTTCATGAGTGGGGATAAGAAATCCCATGGCCTGCATAGAAGATATACTTAATTTAGTGAAGGGGAATGGTTTGATACGGCTGTAGCCTCATCAAAATAATTAAATCCTCACTTTATAAATCATCGAAAGTTGCAAGTCAAGCATTGGAAAAGCTTTACTTGGATCATTATGATTGTGAAAAAAAAATCAGGATTCAAGCTTTAAAAGTAGTATAATGTAATAAATTATCATGACTGTCTATTTTACTTTAAAAATAAGTGTTTATAGATATGTAGGATCGGTACCATTTTTTTGTTTCAAATTTTATTGTAGGCATTGAAAATTAATTTTGTAGCATAATAGAGATTTTTTATGCCAAAAGTACTTTCCAGACAAGAATTTTTAATAAAGCTCTAATTCGTTTTCATAAAACCTAGGCCTTAGAAGTACCTCATCCTTTAGCGTGAGAGAGTCATCCTTTAGTGTGAGAGAGAACTAGCATTAAATTTTGGCCAAACCAGCCTCAACTAAGTCAACATTTTAGAAAAATGTATAACTGGAGCCATCACTTTCTCCAGTAATTTCATTCACTCACTATGGTTTTGGGGACAAAGGACTAGTGAGAGAGAGATAAAATTCAGATAAGTAGGTCTAGTGATTTCAATGTGTGGGGGGGTTTTATCTGTGGTAGAAGCTTCTATTTGAATTTGATGCAAAATTTTGGTGGCTCATACTTTGACTTGTTTCATCTCTTCAATTGCTTGTATTTCAATGTAAATAAAGAAACCAAAATAGAGAAAGGAAAAAGAAGATTTTTTTCTCTCTGACCCATCCACCCATCTATCTAAAAGAGCCAGGACTCGCCTGAATTAGAAACCACTAAGGCTTCTCTCTCAAGTCTTGAGTTGCAGGCAAAAGGTTATAGAGAGATGGGGAGGGCACCTTGCTGTGATAAGGCAAATGTGAAGAAAGGGCCATGGTCACCTGACGAAGACCTCAAGCTGAAGGAATACATAGAAAAAAATGGCACTGGAGGAAACTGGATCTCCCTACCTCAAAAAGCAGGTAAACCATCAAAGCACAAAGCTAACAACCCAATTTCTCCTGTCTCTCCCATAATTCAATTTTCATCTTTTGATTTTTGAACCCACAACACACCTGTTGTTCTCTCTCATTTCTTCATATTCCCTTTCATCTTCTGATCTCTGAGCCTACAAGTAACCAAGAAGCCGAAGACCTGCCTACTAGTCTCTAGAATTTTGTCATAATCTCTCTGAACTTCTGATATCTGAAGTGCAGAAAAAGAATTAGTGGCGAAAACCCTCTCTCTCTCTCTCTCTTTCATTATTTGATCTTCGATTGAATTATTATTGAGTTAATGGATTCTTAAATTCTGGTTCTCTCTCTAGGTCTGAAGCGCTGTGGTAAGAGTTGCAGACTCAGATGGCTCAACTACCTGAGACCCAACATAAAGCATGGAGAATTCTCTGATGAGGAGGACAGGATCATCTGTAACCTCTTTGCCAGCATTGGAAGCAGGTGAAACCTCTCTCTCACTCATTCATTTCTCTGCTTAGATTCATCAGGGAGCATACAGACAGGCTGCATGTATGCCAAATTTAGAAAACTCAGAACCCCAGAAAGGGAAAAATCTGAGGAGTCTCTCCGTAGAAAAGGCAGGGTGGCAATTTAGGTTTTTGGCCCTAGTGGTTATGGAACTTGTTCCACAATGTGCAGGTGGTCAGTCATTGCTGCACAATTGCCAGGAAGGACAGATAATGACATTAAAAACTACTGGAATACCAAGCTCAAGAAGAAGCTCTTTGGCAGGCCCCCCACAAAAAACCACCACCCTTTCCCATCCCCTCTCTCATCAAACCCTAACTCCAAACCACCATTTTTGTCTCCCCCTCACCAAAGACCTCAACCCATTTCTTATATTCTCAACTCCTCATGGATTTCTTCTTCCTCTTCACCTTCTTCTTCACTGGTACCTGATAGTGTTGCAGTCTCAGAATCAGGAGCTTTGAGAGCAACAGAAAGTTACAAGTCTCCATGGCTTGGAGCCTTTGAAGGCTTAACAACCAGTGGTTGTGATCAACAAGTGTTTTTTCTTAGGCCTGGTTTTGGGGGCATGAATGCTTCAGAGAAAGGTGGGTACTCCTACCCTAATGGTGGATTCCTTTCCAAAAAAGGAGACTGGTATGAAGATGAGCAGGCAGTCAGCTTTTCAGATTGTAGCCACCAAATGGAAAAAGCCCATTTCAGCAACAACAATCATGCTATCATTAACACCAAAACCATGAGTGATAACAGTCAGCAGAGAGAATATGACATGGCTTTAGGAGATGTTCCTCTGACTGGGGTGGATAACCCATTGTTTTTGCAGCAACAAAGTGCCATGGATTACTCAGAATATGAGGGTTTCACAGTGTGGGATGGCCATTATTATCATGGCATTAGTAGCAGCAATGTAAATCTCTCTCTTACAAACAACCCCATCATGAATTATAAATCAGATCAATAAAGACTCATGTACTGATTTTGCAGAATTCTAATGTGAAGTATACAAGCTATTCTGATGAGTTAATGTGACTAAACATGTTTATGAATTTGAAAATTGAGAAGACATACACTAATCTTGTAATTAAAATTAGTTGGTTCTCTATCATTGGGTTTTGCAAGACTTGGAAACCGAAGGGATCCTGAGTTTGTGACTCCGTCTGGGAAACAAGAGCATGGAAGTTAGTGTGAGATGCAAATGTTGGATGCATAAGAGAGAGAGAGAGAGTTAGAGACAGAGAGAGAGAGAGAGGTTAAAGAGAAAGGGTCCAAAGGGGGAGAGAGGGAGAGAGTCTATATGGTGAGTAAAGCAAATGACATAAAGGAATGTCCATATGCTGCACAGAGAGAGAGATAAAAGTCTAGAGAGAGAGAGAGAGAGAAAGTCTAGAGAGAGAGAGTGTGTTGTAGGATAATGAAGGGTGTAGAGAGAAGGAGGGTGTCCAAAGGGAGGGAGAATCGTAGTTGGGAAAAGAGTCCGAAGGCTTCAAAGAAAAGAGTTTCATGATTGGGGGAACCGGATTGTGAACATTGGTTGAATTTGCTTAATTTAATCAAGGGTGGGACAGTAACCCGTTGATGACTGAAGTACTGTTTGCATTATAAAGCAATTAAAATAAGATTAGTGCCGACATCAGACAGCTATGCCTTTGAAATATTGATCCCCAAAAGTTCTCAACCAGTAAAGGCCCAAAGGTGACGAAACCTTAATAAAAAAGCGAGCAGGTATACTGTGCTCCCTCGGAAGTACAGTTCACTTCTACTCCCTCGATTAGAAGACCGACTTGGGAACATTTTTTTCAATCTGTTTAGAAAATAATAATTACTATATGAATATTCTCCCACAATTTTTTTTTTTTTGAGTTTTACAATAGTTAGTTTTTGCCATCTAGAAATTGGATGGTCTCTATTCAATCTCGAGACTTTTTTTTTTTTTTTCCGAGTATATAGAGGGTGTGATTAGGAATTTTTTTTATTGAGAATTATATTGTGCTCCCTCAAGAGAATAGGTCTCTTCTACTCCCTCAGTTAGAAGACTTGCTTGTGATGATTTTTTAAATCTGTTTGGAAAATACTCATTAATTACTAGATGATTATTCTAGAAAAAAACAAACGAAATTTGAGTTTTGTAACAGTTAGATCTTACCATATAAAACTTAGATGGTCTATATTCAACCTCGAGACTTTTTCTTCCAAGTGCATAGAGCATGCGATTAGGAATTTCTTTATATTGAGGATAATCCATGGGTTGAAGTGGTTGCATCTCCAAAATTGCGGTTTCTAAAACTATTTCTAATTAGAGTTATATATGAGGGAATAAATGGAAATTCTGGTCTCACGGGAGTAGAATGTCTTTTGGCATAAACAATTGCATCCCTTTTGGGGCATACCATACAAATTGTGGAGTTGAGCTAAATAAATAAATCATTTTCTAACATCCGACAAACATTGACTCACCTTTGGCGACACTAATTTTTCTTTCAAAGTTAAAGGAAGTCGGGTTTTTTTTTCTTCCACTTTCATTTATACGTGTGTTTTAGCTTCTTTAGCCTCCTTGAGACCCGTAGAAGACACATTATGACAGAGAAAATCAACACCCTATGCCTTGTGATTCCTCTAGGGCAAGACATACAACTATATGTATCACTAAATCTTTGGAAGGCGAAAATTATGTGATTCTTTTTTGTGGAATAAGGGTAAGAAAGAAAATCAAAAGGATGTGAGGGTTCTGTTCCAAAAATTTTAGGAAATAGAATAATGAGAGATTGAGTGCGGCCATTCAGTCACCACTGCGAGGAAGGTCTTCACCTTAGGAGACTGCCTCTGCACCCAAGTCTCCACCACGAGCAAAGGCTTCTTCCTCATTGCCCCCCCTGAACCCACCGTCTCTCTCCGTACTCTCCTTTGGATTACTTCACAATGCTCAAAGAGAGTTTCTCTCAAAACTCCCTCACAGCGCTCAAAGAGCCTTTCTCTCTTGTTCCTTCTCCTTCCTTCCGTCTCCTTATCTCTCTTGCTTCTTCTCTTTCTGTTTGACCATTCTTCTCTCTCTCTCTCTCTTCTGACCTTTTTTCTCTCTCTTTTGGCTTCCTCTTTTGTTATTTATGGGAAAGTTTGGTTGGCATTCCCTTTCTGCTCGTACTAGATCTTCCTCTTCTCCTTCCTCCTCCTTTGGCCCTGATGGGGTGCGTCATTCCTACGCATCATAAGGTTAGTGGCTCTGGCTCTTCTAGGGCATCTAAGACACCCCCTGTTGGCCATTCTATTCTCAAAAGTGCTTGTGGCTCTGCTGGATCCAGCTTTTCTTCAACTTATGGTGACTGGAAAGAGGATTGCTTTGGATCGGGCCCTGCACCTTCACAACCGGTCGAGGAAAATCTAGGAGGAGTATTGGTGGTTGAAGTCAAATATGGTGCCATCGAAAAATGGGAGTCTCCATTCCAAAGAGCCCTTGTGTGCTCCTTTAGCCCCTCTGTTGACAATCTAAGTAAGCTACAAGATTTGGCTCAACGCGCATGGCATTGTTCCCTGACCAGTAGGGACATCTGAAACCACAAAGCTTTGATAATCTTTGACATGCTTGAGGACATGGCTAGAGTCCTTAAGCAATACTTCTGGAGTTTCAAGGGTGGTTCTTATGACGGTGGAGTGCTGGTCTGTTCAAACCAACCATTCTCTAATCCGACCACCTACTGTTTGGCTGAAGGATTTGGGAATTCCTATCCATGCCTGGACCAAGGAAGTTTTTGGTCTTGTAGCTCAGACTTGTGCCAAGTTGTTGGAAATCATCTGGTTCAACTCAGCAGGTCCTAGTCTGGGGACCCCATGCTTGAAAATTCAGCCTATCCTGGCCTTATCTATTCGGATAAGTTTTTTCTTAAGGTGGATTACGATTTTTCAGCATTTCTATCCAGGATGAACAAGGATAGAACTTTGTTCCTGACCCTAGATCATCTTCTGCTTCTGTATCGTCCACTTCATCCAGAGACGACCAGAACTCTGGTTTGCCCAGGGTTTTCGGGCCCCAGAAAGAGGATGTGAGAGATGGTGACCAGCATTGGACCTTGGTTACCAAAGAAATAAGGGTCTCTCTTAAAAGCGATTCTCGTCCTCTGAAGACATACCAGAAATAATAGAGGAAAAAAATTGGCTACTTCAGGCTCTGTAAGGCCCGTTGGTGCGAAGGACCATGCACATTAAATTCGCAATTCAAATTCAAATTTATCCAAGAAGATAAAAGTTCATGGTCTGCCTAGGCCTATGCATGAGAAACCACTGGCCCCAGCTCTTCTTTTTTTTATGGTGAATCATCAAAAAGGAAAAGCTTTTAACTTTCAAAAATCCAACTGTCGCTAGTTGTATCTCACGCGTCCTCCGCCACAGTGCCATTAAGAACCTACTCTGAAAAGGTGCCGCCCTTTGGAGACGAACCAATCATTGTGGTTCACCTTCTAATGGCTCCCTGTGTGCCTTATGAAATCTAATGGTCAAGTGATGCGTTTGTAGGGCTGCTGTCTCTTTTCCTTCCTGGAGAAGTACGGAGCATATCATTTGAGGAGACGCCTTGGAAGATTGACCTGGACCCAAATCCCATTGGACGACGAGAGTCCGTTATTGACTGTCGGAGATCGCCATCTATTGAAGATTTGAGGGCAGTGGGATCTCTAGTTGAAAATGTGTCAGGCCTCAAAAAGGTACCATCTTTTACCTTCCAACACGATTTAAGGAAGGACATGCAGATCGTGCCTTTTCTCCCCCCAACATCGTCTCTATCGTCCCCTAATCCTAGGCCCTTTTCGATATTGTGGAATTTTCGGTCTCGTTTGTTTGTGATTATCTTTATCTTTCCTTTTCATCTGCTTTCCTGATGGCCCCCCTAGTTACTATCATGGATATCGTTAAAGAGAGAGATATCATCCTCTTTGAGCCAGCCAATGCACCAGATAATGCCCAGGTTCTGACCCTGTTGAATTAGGAATACGGTAGGGCTTAGGGTAGGTTGACATTTAAGGAACCCTTCCTGAGGGTCACCCAGAAGCATAGGGAGAAGGCCTTTCTTCTGGCTACAATCTCTGATGCTCCGAGGGTCCCTCGTCTTCTAGTGATGGAACCCTCAGATTCCTCTAAAGAGGATCTGCCAGCAGACGCCCAAAATTGGTCCATTAAGGACCACACAAGAGGTATCACTAGAGATAGTGCGACCAACCTTCTAGAGGGGATGAAGGTCATGCTCAGGATCGTGGAGGTGGCCATAGCTCCAGAGGACATCCTTGCACCTCGCCCGAGAATGAGGAGGAGCCAGCTGCAGAAGGAGGCTGTGGAACTGGCTAGTGGCCTGAAGTTTAACCCCTTTTCTTTTGGTGCCATTGGTGCCACAAGGAGGGGGAACGGTTTTCATCCTCATTGATTTCCTTGTCTCAGAATGTTTGTGGGCTTGGGAGCGCTAGAAGAAGGACGGTGCTACGCTAGCTTGTTCGTAGGTGTAGACCTAACGTTTTGGTTTTGCAGGAAACCAAGCTCACCTCTCTTAATATTTCTCTTATCTGATCAATTTTGGATTCTCATCCCCTAGACTTTGCTTATCATACTTCTATTGGCCTCTCTAGTGGTATTTTGACTATTTGGGACCCCACTGTTTTAATGGCAATTTTGCTTCATTTATCCTTTCGAAAAATTTCTATTTGCTTCTTTGACTCTAATGGCTTTGAATGGTGTATGTCAAATGTATATGGCCCTAATGTTATAGGAAAAAAATAGCAGGTTTTAAACTCCTTATCTAGTGTCATAACTTCATGTGGGACCCCTTGGTGTGGTGGTGCTGGTGATTTTAACATGGTGTGGGTTCCACATGAAATCTCTTATAGGTTGACCATCAAACTTGAAATTCTTTTGTTCGAATCCTTTGTAAACTCTTATGGCCTCTTTGATTATGAGATTGTGGGTACCAAGTTTACTTGGTTCAATAACTCCATTTTTTATCCCAAGTTATCCAAGATGGATC